TTTCATTATACGACTCTATATATGTCTGCAACTTTAATTTTCCACTGGTACAAGTTTCTACTTTCACTTGGCGCAATTTTTTTTTATTTCATTACTTTTGTTACGATTGTAACATGAATTTATAATCGATAATTTTTCATACAATTCTATTGTACATGGGTTTGCAATGTAGGATTCTACATAGTTTGCAATGGATCATTTTAATACAATTCTACATGAGTTTGCAATGGTTAATTTTGCCTAGGATTCTACATGGGTTTGCAATGATTAATTTTCATAGGATTCTACATGGGTTTGCAATAGGATAGGATTCTACATGGGTTTGCAATGGATAATTTTTGTTAATGGCGTGCCCTAACTGGTCGCCTTTTTTTACCTTTTTTTAAAGGTGAGTTTTAGAGATTATATCATTCATTTTTGTATATTTTTATGACCGGAATAGAACAATTATTAAACATGTTTATCTAAACTTCTTTGCTTAAAATGATGTGTACAATCATATCCTAGAATCCTGATCATTCCTCCTAAAGCACCCTATTTATATAAATTACCCATATGTGTGTGTGTGTGTGTGTGTACTAATGTCGAGCATTTTTTATACATTTTCTATTAAATTTAGATAAAAGTTGCAGGATTTCGAAAAAGAAAAAGTTGACACAGACTTTTTCCTAAACGGCGATTTTCAAGGTTATTTAAAGGTCACTTATATTTTCAAAATAGAATTACCTTAATTTTTCTCATATAAATCGATTCCTCGCAATATTTACTATAAAAAGTTGTAAAGGTATAATTTTTACATAATCTTACATAAACTTCGAAATATTACAAATATTTTATTCTATGAAATATTTCAGTTTATGTAAAATTATGTTAACTATCTTTTAAATTATTCACTTTTAGCCATCTTACCCTTACAACCTTTATAGTGAATATTGCAACAAATTGGTTATATATATAATAATATATAACATCAGTTATTATTAATTGATGTTTACATTTATTTTTAGACTTACTAGAGCTCTAATGCTCCACATTTTTGCAAAAACTGTTTATTCTACAGATTTCAAATATGCTTTTAAATGATGATTGAATATTTCCTTTTTTAATTATTTTTATTATTATTTTCAATCTCAATCAACTTTTAAACTTTATGCCAGCACGATACAAATACATGTGTCTTTATTTTTTTATTATTTTCATTATTATTTTTCAATCTCAATCAACTTCTATAACCTTATGCCAGCAGGATACAAATACATGTATGTCTTTATTATTGTATCAACTCTTGTCTTTTCCATGTAACCATGTCTTCATAGTTTGAATTATCCCTTCATCTTCTCAATCTTTCGCAGAGATTTAATTAATTAAATACACTTCACACGAAATAAAGTTGCTGGAAGATATACAGCAAACGATAACTGTAAAAACATGATTACGTGGAAAGAACAAGAGTTGGTACAGTAAAGGCAAGTAAGTAAGTACATGTAATGTATCGTATTGGCATAACGCTATATCCGCGGAGCAGATAATGTGGCTGTAGAGGTAGTCTGCAGTGCAGCTAATGTGGACGTAGATGTTGATTGAGATAATTGTCTAATATAAAATAGAATTTAAAAATTTAGTTTAAAAAGCTGTTGCATATATAAATAAAGTTTATTTTTTCTAAATTTGGAATATGTTTAATTAATTAATTTTTAAGTTTATGTTTAATAAATTTTTAAGTCTGTATTCAATAATTTTATTCATTTGATAAATACATGTATGTCTTTATTTTGATATGTTTAATATAATTAGAAATTCATTATTAATTAGATATGTAAACTATAAATTCATATATAATATTTGAAAATATATGTGAATATTTAAATTTTATCTTCTCCTTCCTCTCCTTCAATCTCTTTAATATCAATATGTGTATGTGTGTACACGCGCGCACATTTGTACGTATTTATTTAATTATTGGATAGTTGAGAGTACTTAATTGATAAAAAATTATGACAATAATAATCCTTGTTTTTTTTCTTATTATTTACTCAGATTTTTTTGTCTATCTTATAAGATAAACACTTTAGAGATTGATATTTCAAGTAAACTAATTGTAAGTAAATTTCACATTAATGCATATAGATGTTAATCATGAATGTACTAAATAAGTACACAAGACGAACAGTGAGTGAGTGAGTGAGAATGAGAGAGTGTGTGTGGTGTGAGAAAGAGAGAGAGAGAGAGAGGAGAGAGAGAGAGAGAGAGAGAGAGAGTTAGCCAACATAACCCCGCACGCTGCCGATCATGAATGTACTAAATAAGTACACAAGACGAACAGTGAGTGAGTGAGTGAGAATGAGAGTTTGTGTGTGTGTGCGTGTGCGGTGAGAAAGAGAGAGAGAGAGAGAGAGAGAGAGAGAGAGAGAGAGAGAGAGAGAGAGAGAGAGAGAGAGAGAGAGAGAGAGAGGAGAGAAGCGAGAGATTAGAAGAGAAGAGAGAGAGAGAGAGAGACGAGAGAGAGCGAGAGAGAGAGGAGAGAGAGAGAGAGAGAGAGAGAGAGAGTTAGCCAACATAACCCGCACGCTGCCGATATGGCGGAGCGCCACTATCGCCATCTGTTGTAAAACGTGCGAGATGGACAAAATTACCACTACATGCATCTTGCATGTGTTGTGTACGTGTGATATATGGTGCGCATGTGTTGTATACGTGTGAATACGTGTAGCACGATACTACTATGTATGCGTGGTCGATGATGATAATGATGATGATAATGATGATGATAATGATGACGGGGACGTTTCTTAATAGAAATTTTTCATATTTCGACTTTGCATTTATATATCTCTGCTTACAAATCACGTAGAGCAGAAATAAAGACACTTTTATTATATAATTCGAACTCAATCTATCGATTAAGTCTAGTATAAACTCGATTGCTTCAGCCATTATTGAGGATTCGAAATATATAAAGACTCAAATGTCCGACTCGCGTTAAGATACACGGTGTCTCCGCTACGCCCTAACTGACGCGAGACACTACCGTGTCTCTGATTCTTCGCATGCTTCGTAATAAAATGTAAGAAACTGTTAACGAGAAATTGATTTCCCTGTTTTGTATAAGTGTGCTGTTTATGACTCTCTCTAAAATAGTTTTTGATGAAATCAGTATCTTCAATGCAAGCGAAATATTCTGAAAATTTAATGTCAGTTTTTTCCAATCCTCTCGTATACATTGTTCCAAAAATGGTCTCATTTCTCGTAGTTATCATCAAACCTCTACAATATGTCCATGTCTTCCACCATGGCAAAAGTCTAAAATATAAATAAAATTTAATTTTATTATTAAAGATTGGCGTATCAACTCATTTAAACATTATAGAAGATATTTACAGGGAAATTGATTAAAAAAAGCTAAATATATATAAATTATTTACCTGTGTTTTATAGGATCTTTGATATGTTGTTTTAATTTTATTTTTGCTTCTTTTATACAAGTGATGTCACCGAGAAAACATGCCCATCTTGCAGCTTCTTGTCGTAAACATATTCTAAGTTCATCTGCATCATCAATTTCTTCATATTGGATTTTTGCAAGTAACTCGTGTAAATGGTTTTTATCCCATTTATTCTATTCTAAAAATCATTAAATAAATATTCTTTATTAATAGTTTATAATTATAATTCATCGACAAATATTTTAAGCATCCAGCTATTTATCCAATAACAATGTTATATATTAATATTATTTACAGTAGTGAAAATCATACACTTTGAAGACTGTTTATCGCGTGAGTGATTATTCAAACTGAATTTGTTTGCACATTTATGTGAGACGTAATAATATGTAAAACTTTATCGCTAGATATATTTCTCTATAAATATTTAAATTATTTGTAATCAATTAGTGTATATATAAATATTTAAATGTAATACTTTCATTGAAGTTGATTAATATTTACCCCAATTTTGCAGTTTTTACTTTCACTGGAAAAATACTAAACATGTATTCCAGAGCTTTAAACATAGGATACCATGCTATATAATCTTCTTCTTTATCCAAATACGATGTGATATTCCAGAATATAGAGGCGTTGAGTTGGCCTGCTATCACTAAATGAAATGCATCATCGATAATTTGAGCACGATTAAGAACATGAATTGTCGTAAAATCATTATATGATAGATAATTTGAAATTCTTCGCCAATTCTCATCATCATAGTTAACGCGGTAATATCCTGTCGAATAATAAATAAATTTTAACAATTTTTATTATTTTGAATAATTTTATTCTTAATATACATTTAACTTCAAACATTTTTGTTTAATAGTTTCGTTTATATATATTATAAATTAAAAACGTATCAAAAATTCAATAAGATGCAAATACATATTGAAAATTAATTATAAATTAAAAATGAAATTGTGCGAGATAATGTTGTATAGCATAAAATAAAATTGATTCTAGTTGTGCATATGTATAATAATTATTTTTTACTAATCAGCAAAAGTTCTGTAACATGAAACTGTACAAGAATTTTATTTCATTTGTATATTTATATAAGTATACTATTTTTCAAATATAATTAACGTTTTAATCATTTTTATTATTATTAGAATAAAATATTTGTAAAAATATAACTTTAATATTGATTAATATTATGTAGAAAACGCCGATATCTTATTAATTATATATAATAATACAGAACATTATACAAAACATTTTAAAATTATGGTAGTTATATATAAGAATATCTCAGATTTATAATAATGTATAAAGCAAAAAAAAATATAAAATAATGTCAATTGTGTATGTGTGTAAAATAAAGACAAGTAATAAGTCATGATAAGTCCATTGATCGATATTTACCAATTTGTTGTAAATTGATTATAACCCAACCTTTCTCTCTATTGAGAATGAAATAACATCATCTTGTGATTTGCATAGCGCGCGGTGATCAAGACTGTCAAAATCGGGAACCGACTGGATAGTATAAGTTACAGGTAAGCAATCAATTTTTAATGTGTCGGATTTTGTATCGATAAATATATTTTTGTCTTTCCCAAAAGACCATAATTTCGTTCTACTTTGATGAGAGGACAATGCTCTTCTAAAATCCAATTTGCCATTGTTGTAATGATAATTGAAGTTTATCTAGCTTATTTGCATCAGCAACAACTTCTTCCAAAAAGTCATAAAACTTTGACGATGAAATTGGCTAAAATCACAAAGTACGTAAATTATGTAAAATAACATTATAAATAAAATTAAAATTGTATTTATAATTTTAATATTTTAATATTATAAAAAATTTAATAAATACTAAGAAGCAAAATATAATTGTACTTATTTGTATTTGTGTATTTATATATCTTATATTATATTATGATAATAACATAATATTAAATATAATTTTATAATTTTATTTAATTTATAATATAAACTATGAAGTCACCAGATGATAATTAAAAAATGGTAGTAATTCAATCGACCAATTCTGGCAAATAATTAAATTTATTGTATTTTTACAACGTTTCGGCCGTGGGATTCGGCCCTTATCAAGTGCTATGTTCTTAAATCAGAGTAAATCACAATCTTTTTAAAAACAAAAATTCGATCTTAAAATATGACATTATATAATAACCTGATAGTATAAAACGAAATAATATGTTATTATATGTGATATAGTTATTTCGTTTTATACTATCAGGTTATTATATAATGTCATATTTAAGATCGAATTTCTGTTTTTTAAAAAAGTTGTGATTTACTCTGATTTAAGAACATAGCACTTGATAAGGGCCGAACCCTACGGCCGAAACGTTGTAAAAATACAATAAATTTATTATTTGCCAGAATTGGTCGATTGAATTACTACCATTTTTTTTATTAATTTGTTAGGCATTTCTTTATACTATTACTAGTAATGCCAATTTATCACTTATTTCGAGTACTTAATCACTTATTTCGAGTACTTAATTACTTATTTCGAGTATTTAAATTACTGTATATCATATTTTAAATATTCGAAGTAAGTGATTAATTGGCGTTATTAGTGATAAATTTCTACAAGAGTTAATAATACAGATTATATTTGGAAAAAGTATTGACAGATGAGTTATAAATGATTAATAAAAGAAATAACAAAACAAGAAATGATATACAAATATAATAAAAGAGATTGTTCTACGAAAGAAATAAAATAAAAATAAAGAAAGTAACAAAAAAAAGATATACGTGTCAGATATATTTAAAATAACATTAAAAAAAACAAATGTAGCACAAAATTCAATAAAAAAAAACAGATATTATAAGACTTATAGACGATATGAAGAAAAGGAATTAATAAAAAAATAAAAATTAATTTAAAAATGATTTTGGAAAATAATAAATTATGAAACAAAAATAAAACAACGTTGAATATATGTATTATATGAAAAAGTAAAAAAAAACACATATTGTTTCAACAAAAGCGGTTTTCATAGTAAAAGTAACGAAAGTGAAGGTAAATCTAGTAGCAGATGTAGGAAAAAAGCGGAATTGTAAAACTAAAAAAAGCAATATGAAATAATGTCAGCAAAGCGAAATAATAAGGGACAATATATAAAATTTGTATTATAATAAATTATTTAAGATTTAAATGATTTTATTTTCTTATATTATATACTCACGTGCTATTTGTATATGAGCGAACGCCTTTTTGAAATATTTCTTTGGTTACGGCGTGTTGCATCATGCGCAGTATACAGGGTGCTACAATTTACATCAAATTATAAATTAGATATATTATAAATATATGTTTATTATAATGGTTACATGTAAAGTGGTTTTATATATTATAAGGCAAAATTATTTGTATATATATATACAAGGTACAGTAATCGCATAACAGTGAAATGTCTTCTATTGCCGCACGGTTTATCATTTTGATTTTAAAGTAAATTTTTCGTTATAAAGATATAGCAAAACATTAAAAGACCATTGATTAATATCTTCTACACACATATGTGTAATTATACCGAAACACTTCGTGTGTGATATATATTATATATATTATGGTATAATATATATAAATATATATATTATTATATATATATATATATATATATATATTATACCAACATAATATATATATATATATGTATATATGTATATCCCTTAAATATTAATTAAAAAATATACATAAATATGCACGTGTGTGTGTGCTTTTATAATTTTATTTTTTTAATAGAATTCAGATAAAGAATTAATTATTTTATAATTTCACAAATATTTTTATAATATTAATAATTCAAAATTTACGCGAATTATTTTATTATATTACGTTATATACCTCTGATGGATTCGCGAATTTTCAATAATGTGTCATTTGTGAAGTAGAATCCCACATACGATATTCATCAAAATAAAAAGAAGTATGTTGATTTTGAACAACAAATAAATGTGTATTATTCGATTATCTCGATACATCTAAAGAAAAAATTTAATTTAATATATCAATATAACCGCTCTGAAAATACATGCATTAGAAGGAAATACTATATCTTTAGCGGTTCTTTTATGTTAAAAAGGGACACTTTTTACTTTAAAAAACACATATGAGTAATATAAAAATAAAATTATAAATTTTGTATTATTATAATTAACAAATATTACATACTTTTAAAATTATTATCTCATGATATATTATATCGCAGAGTTCTCTTTATCAAAATAAGTCAAATAAATATCGGATATAATAGTTTCTGATTAATTTAAGTTATTTTAGATTTTATAAAAATCTGTATGTATAATTACCGTCCGTCTCTCTGTCTGTCTGACCGTAAACTGCTTCCACATTTGTGGACTGATTTTCATCAAATTGGTACCAAAATTTCGCAAATTTTCCGGGAAGTGTGACTATGGTAATTATTTGTAAGTTTTACGTCTCCACCCACGCAATCGCATATTTATGGACCAATTTTTTTTAAATTGATATCAAAATGTGCAAATTTTCTGAGAAAAATACTGTGTGGTTTTTTTTAAGTTTTATTCTCTTTACGCATCTACACACATAATCACATATTTATTCACCGATTTTCTCGAAATTGGTACAAAATTTCACATTCTTTCGGAAATGGCTACTATGTGTTTTATTTAGTTTTACACTACTACATACGCATCCGCCCACGCATACATACATTTATGATTAATTTTCTCGAAATTAGATATCTATTTATATTTATATATACAAGTTGCAAATTTTTGGGGATGCGTGGGTGGAGATGTAAAACTTACAAATGATTACCATAGTCACACTTCCGGAAAAATTTGCGAAATTTTGGTACCAATTTGATGAAAATCAGTCCACAATGTGGAAGCAGTTTACGGTCAGACAGACAGAGAGACGGACGGTAATTATACATACAGATTTTTATAAAATCTAAAATAACTTAAATCAATCAGAAACTATTATATCCGATTTGTGATGAGATGGTGTTTTTTTAATTTAAAATTTTTTTTTAACATAGAGAAGGGTATGTTTCCGCAAAAAAATGTTTTGCAGATTTTTATGCCAATGTGTTCGAAATGTTTCAAAATATCGAGAAATCACATTTAAAAAAAATTTGTATGTAAAACTTTCACCCACGCACTCACACATATATTGATTTATTTTCGGTACCAAAATCATGAAAATTTTGGGGATGACGACGACAGACAGACGGACAAATGGACAGACAAATAGATAGATATTAAATAAAGTATAACTAAATATTATATATCTTTGGTTTTGTAAAATAAAAAATTGTGTGAAAACTAGTAAGGGCGGAATCAGTGTTGGGTGAAGGCTTTGAGGCCCGCGTGAAGAGCGAACCGAAAAGCTAGTATAATAATATGAGATAAAGTGATGTTAAAATATAAAGAAAGTTTTCATATCTTACATTATATTTATATGAATATAAATATTTGAAAAAGTATTTTTAAAAAACAGTATAATATTGTATACGTATGTATATATTGTTTAATATTGTATACATATGTATATATTGTTAAAAAGAATTTATACGATTTGTAAAAATAATTTCATATACAAAAATCTTGCTATATAAATGCTTAAGTATGTTATTGTTTCCGAGAAAATGGGAGGTGATAGCATTAAAATTATTTAGAATAACCTTATTGACAGTATTCATTGCAAGCAATGTAGTAAGAGCTTTGTTGAACCAAGAAGCCGATCGAAACGGATTGTTCAAATTATAAAACCATTGCTGTGTCACTTTATGTCCTACTAATTGAGCTACTTCGATTTTGTGAGCAACAGGATACAAATTTTTATCGTAAACGATATCCATTTCGCTGAAAGTAATATTTAAATGTTCGACTGAGAACTTTTGTACATAATAAAATTTCAATTAGCAAATTGGTATTGTAATACGTAACAAATAATATTTTTTGTAATTTTTAATTTAAGTATAAAGCAATGATTTTGTGTTAATGCGTAAATCATTGATGAAAAACTTTAGTTTTAATAAATAAAAAAATGTTATTTCTTTATAGCTTTATTACAATTTTAAATTTACCTTAGGAGATACGATATAACATAAAAATTTTTACCTTTATGTATGTATATATTAGAACAATAAAGTGCAACATTTTGAATTATAATACGAATAAACTTAATTTTCACTACTTAAAATTGTTGTTTTCACAATATCTTATACTTTTGCACGTTTACAGAAACAAAATATATACCTACATGTTTTTCAGTTTTATAATTTTGCATACTAATATATAATTTTACTTTTAATGTAATTTTAAGCACTTGTACTTACTTATACAAAACAAGTCCCAAAACTATTATGCCATTATCAGGGAAATTTGGAATTGCAACATGAGTCACTTTCGAAATATTGTTCGAACGTTGTTTCCATGTATCTTTGAACAACATCGTGATTTCTTCAGCTACATTCTTTGCAAATTCCATGTGAAATAAAGATTCGTATCTGCACCACATTTCAATGTTTTGAGTATAATTATCAACACGTAATAAGTAATTGGATACAATTATTGTTGCAAGATACGGCGACATTGCAGGTGTGGTATCGAAGCGTTTTAATAATATATTGTGCTTGTTTTTTTCTGTATTTTGCAATGGCATATTTGACAAAGCCGTGCATTGATTACATCCTATAGATATGTTAAAAGTTGCTTCTAACAATAATTTTGTTGACTCCAACATGAAGACAATTGTCGAGCGCCTATTATATGGAAATGAGTAGCAGCTACCAAACTATACATTTTAAAAAACATATATGAATGAAACATTTTTAACAAGCATCAAAATGTTGGAATTTAAAAATGTTTAAATGTAATATGTAATAATATGCATTATAAGTATAAAATTAGTAGTCTTTATATTTAAATTGCATGATATATAATAATTTTTGAAACATTTAATACAAAAATAATATATATTAATTACGAGATTTTATGTAATTGCACATTGCACATTGATTTAATAAACATATATTATTTGCTTACGCAATTTTTTTTCACATCGAAAATTCTAAAGACTTCATCAGTAAAACCAAAATATGTAATATATAAAGTGTAATTTCCTGGTAATAACTTATCCTTAAAATAAAGGTCAATTATGTCTTCTTGAATATCATATGTCGGTTTATAAACTGTATACTTAATATTCTCATGATGTTTTTCTAGATTTTAATTAAAATTATATTTTCAAAATATAATTTTCTGAATGTATGTTGTTGATTAATATATGTTGCGTTTTGTTAAGAATGTTGATGCTGATATTGTATTCTCCATAGAAAATGTTTTCTTCTATACATGATATAAACATGATATCGTAATGATTTGGTTTTATATATTTGATGGTTGATAGCATAAAGACGATTGATTAGGAGTAGAAGCCGTCCCAACGATATACATTATTCCGCTAATTAATAGTAGAAATATCATCGTGTCGAAAAATTTATTTTAAGTCTGTAAAACACACTGTAAGCAAAGGACAAATAGAGAAATTAAATATAGTATTGATGTCTTTTATAAATTACTAGACGACACAATAGCGCGCTTGGCGCACGCTTTTGATATTATTATTCATTTTACAATTGTCAAATTGTTAATTTTGCGATGACAGTTGCTTGATGCTATAAAAATAATGATAATTTTAATTAGCCGAATTTCTATTTTGATATCTATTTTGTATATATACTGATAGTAGAATACTAATACGTTTGAGAAATACAACTTAATAATAAGTAAAAATTAACTTTTGATCATTTTAATTTTAATATATTTGACAGGATAATTAATTTTTACGACCATTACTGACTAATGAATATTTAATAATCACCACCCAACGTTTCGACCATGGGTTTTGGTCCTTCTCAAGTGTACTTAAAATTAAAAACTGTGAACATATTATTCGAATGAAACTTCTTGTCGAACCGTGATAAAATAATAGCCAAGGACTATACAACCTTAAATATATTGACATCACAAGTAAGTATTAAAATACACACAGATATTTTTTATAAATAATAAAAAATACGAGAAATTTTTAAATAGAATTTTAATAATCTAGTAATAAAAGAACATTTTAAAGTATTTATTATAATATTCATTATCTGTTAATTACAGTATTTTTTAGTTTCAAAAATTATTTATTCGACAACAAACTATTGTGAGTTCAAGATTATTTTAACTGTGGCGATAAAATTCATTTTATATTTCAATTTTATTTGATATATTAAATCGAATTGAGAACGAAAGTCAGCGATCGAATATATGTATATATATGACAACGAGCGAAAGAATCATAATAAACAAGTAAAGGCAAAGTATCAAAACAAGCAAAATATAACAACGGACAGCCTAACCGATATAGGCAAAAGAATTGATAACATGTCACTCATTGTCAGCGAACTCGCTGAAGAAAGGACAAATAGAATTATTTTAAATTATATATATCTCTGGATTGAAATTTACAAATAATTTTGAATAAAACTATTCTCTTTATTCCTATACATATGTTGGAAATTCTATAAAATTCCGTCCTACCAAATGATTAAATTTTCTTGCATTTATAGACACATGTTTTATATGTATAAAAGTTCTTCTGACTTACCGAATATTTCGAAACAGAATGTTAATTGGAAAACTATATTGATTAAAACTATATATTGTTTTAAAAATAAACTGCAGCAAATTAATGCTTTAGAAGTATGCAATGTTGGAAGAATATAATATATTCACACACTTTATTAAAAGTATATTATATCTACGGCGACGTGGTTCGAAAGACCACGAAAGACTGACTGATTCTCTGGACGTGTCTTCATGCTAAATATGATGTGTTAAATCAAAACTTCTGAGGTCGTTATATAT